TTAGAAACTGTACAGTGAGATGGGAAAGTTCCTGTACCAGATCCTAGAAGAGTCACTGCCACCCCACCCCATCTGCTACCCTGTGAGACAAGCTTTTGGAGATGGACTAAATGCCCAGATGCTGAGGGAGGGGCTAGGAAACTCATATTCAGGAGGACCACTCCTGGAAGCGGGTGATATACACTCTCAAATGGAAGTAAAGAAGAAAACAATGAAAGGATTTGGGGGATAGGGGGATTGACAGTCCCTAGGAAGCAATGTCTAAGGAGGAGTTTCAGGTATCCACTATGAGATGCCTTGGGTAGGAACTTCCACAGACTCTTGAGGTCCCCTCTCCCACCCAGCAAAGCTCTGTGCCATCTACATTCACAACGCTCTTGGGGTCCAGATGAGGAGTCTCTGACCACCCGTCAAGCTGTGCACCTAGTCCTCGGTCGGTGATAGGGGTGGTTGCCCCACTCTCCAAGCCCTGCCACCCCATCCAAGTCCTAGGGAGCCTCTGGCCTAAGAGCCTCTGAGAGACCATCCAGCGACCAACTCTCCTGCTGCCCCTTCCACTCTGCCCATGTGGGCCCTGGAAACCTGCTCCACCTCACAGGATTGAGTGCCTAATGGCTGATGCTCTGTGGGTGTGGACACCCCCACACACACACTCACACACACCACTGCTACACACACCACTCGTGTTTCTCTGCACGCTCAACAGACAGCAGCCCCCCATCTCCCAGAGAGGCATCCATGTTCCACCCCAAAGGGTGCTGCTTTCTTTAGACCACCCTAAGCTTGTGCCTCTCAAGCAGCAGTTCTCCTGGGGGTGTTAGTGACTCCCAGGCACATCTCAGGCCACAGCCTCTCAGTCTCCGGAGGACAGAGCCCTGACCAGAATTTGGCTAAGAGGGGACACCGGGTTGTCCAAAAATGACTAAACTAGGGACCTCCTCAGAGTCTGGAGAAGCAAACACTGCTGCCAGGATGCAACCAGGAGAGCCAGATGGCCACGCCATGGCCCCTGCAAAGGCTGTTCAAGGATGTCCTGGAGTGCATGGCTGAGAGTGGAGAGAGGGCCAGGAAGGGCCCCAAGTGAAGGCAGTCCACTCCCCTGCTTGTGGGACAGCTGCTACCTCAGTCATCCTGGCTGCTCCTTTTCCAGGAACCTGGTGGAAACAAAGCTCCTTGCAAAGGAGGACGGGAGAGAACTGCGGGAGAGAACTGCGGGAGAAGGCTCAGTGCCCCCGGGAAGCAGTGACACCTGAATGGCAAGACAAGACATCTTGCTTCTGGACTCAAGTCAGGGTCACCCCATCCAGACAGCCTTCCTGGCCTCCAGGAACGAGGCTGGGCACCTTTCTGCTCCCGCCCCCACACTCATGCTGGGTCTGTGTCCCTGACCGAGGCCTGTTCAGGCCCAGGGCTCCCCAACAGTGCTCGCTGTCCGAGGACTGGCGCGCCGAGGGGTGGGGGCGCAGGCTTGCCGGCCAGAACCTGGAGGAGGTTACTGAGCACGGCGC